CTCTTTCCAGCCCAGCTACAGTATGGACCACGTCAATCTTCCACGTGATCCCTACTCATATTGCATCACCCGATCCATGTTGAGGATCTGTACTTGCTTTATGGGTCTATAAAACTGAAAACTGACACTTTCTCATGGTCACCTTCTGCAGTGGTCAGAGGTCCACAGCAAAAATGGTGTGCATTGCTATTGAAGGCTTGTGGCTTATTTCAGTTGGTCAGGACAAAATATCAAAGCAGGGCTTAAAATACAAAGTGTGATGGTGGATGAAGTGTGGCCTGACAAGCAGAGAAATGTGTTTATTCTTTATGGCACCAGTGAACGTAAAAAAATTTAATGAGTTAAAAAAAATCTGCAGATACTGTGGCTACTTATTACTGGTGACTCTTGCTTTGCTTTGGCACATGTATAATTTTTAATATAAACATAATTTATGCAATCGGTGAGTGATATTGACTCAAAGCAGGGCATTCCAGCCTGCACACTTTTAGCTTCACATTTTGCATTTAAGCACGCTGAGACAGCAAAACTATAAAGAAGCCAAAGGCTGTAGAAGGCATTTGATATCTGTCATGATTTATTTCTCCCATATAATTAGCACTATACTTCACTGTGTCCCTCTCCCCAAACCTCTGAGCTTGAACCTCCTCCATCATGGTAGACTCAGATGTGGAAGGTTAGAAATTTAGAAAGTTAGTATCTAAATTTAAAACATTATATTAAAGCAGAAAACACACACTATACAACTTCAGCGCTCTCCTGTTTTTTAGCACAAATAATTGCACATTCAGTTGAAAAATCACTTTAAAAAAACCAAGTGGTCAAGATCAGTATCGACCAAAATGAATCTGTTCAAAGTCTTGTTCTGCGCAGTATAGCCAGGAAACAGCAGCAGACAAAGAAGGCTCCTGTAATTAATTAAGCAGGACAGAAAAATATGCTGTCAGTAGTAACTGTTGTGTCAGGGTTTTAACTTCTGTTGGCTGATGGCAGCTTAGTTGCTATTGGCACAGCCGTTTGTGTTTTCCAGTGCACTTTACTTGTGAGTCTGTACAGCAGCCAACACTTAGATGTACAGAAAAATGAGGCAAAAACAATTCAGGAAACCCATTAGTTCTGTAATATCACTCTTGTGGGCACTACACACCAAAGGAAACAGGCAGTATCCATGACAAAGCCCGTACTTCCCCAAACCATCATCATGAACCCACTGAGATTCACAAGTCAGACCCTTGCTAATGGTGCGGAGTGTGTGTGTTCATGTACCCGCTACACAGTGAGGACCAAAAAAAGTATTTTTTGCTATAGCTTTGGAAAGTGAGGACATTTTTACTGGTCCTTACTTTCTGAAGCACCTTTTCTAGGTTTAAGACTTTGTTTTAGGGTTCAGGTTAGAATTAGGTTTAGATGTTAGGGTAAGGGTGAAGTTTAGTTTTGATGGTTAAGGTTAGAGTAAGGGGCTAGGGAATGCATTATGACAATGAGTGTCTTCACAAAGATAGAAGTACAAGTGTGAACTGGAGCTGCCCACTAACTCAATAGAAGGCGAGAGAAGTCAATTTAGCTTCTCTGCAGAGGACAGATTGCACCAGTTACCCAGTTCTGTGGCAGCGATCAGCCTCCTCTCGTTTTCCTGGGGGTGTGGAAAGGGGATACGGGCCTCTCAAAGAAGATCAAAACATCATTTGCTACAAGGGCAGATGGTTGAGAGAAAGAAAGAGAGGCAACAAATGGTCATAAAGTAGTTCCTATCACTGGATTAGAATGGAATTGGATCAGATACCACAGTGATGTCAGATAAGTGCAAGCGAGTCACAGCAGGAAAACAGAGGTTTTACAACACTCGCTGTGAACAAATGAATCAAAAGTAATGCGGTTGATACCACACGATACAGCCCTAGAGTGCAAGATCACTACTAAGTGCTAATATTCTCCTCGGCCATATGAAATGGATACTTCTAGAAAGCTGCAACAGAAAAGAGAAACTACTTAGCTGCTGTTCAAATGGGGTTAATGAGAGGAAGTCAGAGGAAACAGCCCAGACACCAGGAAACTGTAAAAAAAAAGAGATAGAAAAGAGAAACAGCAGCAACTATTGTGTACTACATTATGTACTAAGTATTAATTAAAAACCTACTGTAAACCATAACCTCAGCTTTAGTTGTTTAATTATAGTAAGTAAAATTAAATACATCCTTAAAGGTGCAGTGTGTAAGATTTAGAAGGATTTATTAGCAGAAATGGGCTATAGTATGCTTAAATATGTTTTCATTAATGCATAATCACCAGAAAATAAGAATCTTTAGAATGGGCTTTTTATATCTACATAGATGCAGGTTACCTATCATGGAGACCGCCATGTTGAGCCACCATGTTTTTTTCAGTAGCCCAGAACGAACAAACCACACACTGGCACAAATTGTATGTTTTTTTATGTGGAAGTAGCAGCTTGGATGTGGAGATGGGTGGAAGATGAAAAGCAGTAACATCAGAACAAGAGGAAGCATTGTCGTGATTTTAGGAATTATAATTTGAAGAAGTGAGACCCATACCGTGGACTAGATAAAGAACTGCAAGTGAAAATCGGGGGGGCTATTATAGAACGAGTATATGAAATCAAATTTCTAGGTGTCATAGTTGATGAAAAATTCACCTGGAAATCTCATATCAGATATATTCAGCACAAAATAGCAAAAAACATATCGATATTGGCAAGGGTTAGATATATTCTGGACAGGAAAGCACTACGTATTTTGTATTCTTCACTGATTTTACCATACTTGGAGTATGGTGTTGAAAACTGGGGAAACACATACAAAAGCTCACTTCAACCATTGTATATATTACAAAAAAGAGCGATAAGAATTGTGCATAAGATGGGATATAGGGATCACACCAATGTAGCTTTCATACAGTCTAAATTGTATTTTGTATTTCCATAAGTGGGGTAAAACTATGGAATAATTTAAGTGTGGACATAAAAAATAGTAATAGAATTGACGAGTTTAAACATAAATATAAAGGTATGTGTCAATCAAGATATGGGCAAGAACAGGTTTAATGATTAATCAGGTGTAACATTGTGGGTGTGGTGTATGAATGTTAACACTCTGTACTATTGCTACTTGTGTGATGTAGAAGATAATTAGCAAAGTACGTAATTATGTAAGAATGTTAACAGTCTGTAATATTTTTTAGTATATCACTAGCGTGGTGTAGAACATAATTTTCTGTGTAGTAATACTGCTTGCAAACCAATGATGGTAAGATGATGTCATGGGGTAGGACTAGATAAGTCTAACTTCTTTCTACTCCGTTCAAGCATGTACTAGGTATAAGCACATTGATATTGGATTAGCATTTGTTGGATATGTGTAAAATTATGTGTGTTGACATATTGACTGTCGTTACGTTTGAAAGAATCAAATCAAATCAAATCAAAAAATAGTTAAACTGTAACACAAAAAAAGAAAGACGGGTGAATCTCCATCGTCAGAGAAGCAAAGACATGAAGAAGTGTGATAGATGACAGCACTTTAAAGCTGCACTAATCAATATTTATTTTATATTGACAATAGATCAAATGTGTAATATAAGTGGTGATGAAACGTCATAAGATTATCAGCCAACACTGTAGATTCCTTACAGTTCTAAAGAGATTATTTTGTGAATTCTGAATCGGCCCACAACTCCGTTCTCATCATTCCTATTTTCTACAGCAGACAGATGAACTGAGCTATTAGCTGGTGAACACAGTGGAGCACAGAGCTGCAAAGGGGGCAGATGTTTTTCTGAGACAGTAAAAAACAGAGCTAAAAGGAATGTGAAAATTTAATTTAAATTTGTGAGGTAAACACAAACAGACCTTTGCAGGAATACTAATTTGCTTTTTATCTGCTGGATGTGTCAGTACAGGCAGCAGTTCTGTAACATGGTCGCCATAACAGCTTTATGGGGTGACAA